TAATAATGAATGAAATATCATTTCCGAACATTTTAAAGGGAATTTGATGCAAAGATCAAGGGGGAGTAACTTCAAATTTGGCAAAAGACTCAAAAGAAGTGCGACTGGARAGATAATTACAGAAAGATTATTCATGTGTTACAATGACTGAGAGGTGTTGAATGTGAAGATCATCTTTACAACAGTTTACTGAAGATTAATTATGAAGATTCTTTGAAGATCATATCTTGTACATTGTTTTGGTTGATACTATTCTACATTATCAAAAGAGAAGATCATCGTTGTTCTACATTCGAGGGGAAGAATGCTAGAAGATCTTTCTCAACAGTTGATTGGTTGAAGATTTCAAGTTGAAGAATTCTTTTGAAGATGACAAAATGTGCTTAAAGTTTCAAAGTTCAAACAAGGACTCAAAGTGCAGAATTTCTTTCAAGTCTGAATACAAAGGAGGAGAATGTTAGAATTGAAATCAGTATTAAATTGTATTCGTTTTGAAAGTTAAATATTGTCTATAATTGTAAAAGTCATCGTGTTTGACTTTTCTTAGACAAGTTTGACTTTGACTTGTGTTTAGAGGTTTGACCCTATAAATAGGGTAATGTCTTTGTAAATTTAGTAAGAAAGAGAGCTCATTTGTAAAATCTGATACGTAATAGAGAGTTTGACTAAGCTTTGAATGTTTGAATTTCTCTCTCAAAGTTCATATGAATGTTCTTGAAGATTTATCTTAATCTGCCATTATTATGGAGCTTGCTTGAACATTGATCATTGAAGTGGGACACACAGATTTTAGGTGGGATTTTCCGTCCAAATAGCGCTATCCACAAATACCCTTGGCTCCTCACTTGAGTTAATAGTAGTGTACAAACTTTTCTGTTACATTTTACTCAATATAACTATTAGTGTACATGCCTTAGTGCCCACAACATCAAATTAACAAAATTTCATATTCATAGTGAAAATAGCTCATATAACACATTCAATCATGCTTTTCACCCCAAAACGTAATAAATACTTTGAAAGAGGGGCTATGAATACTCACACTTTTGCAAAGCTCCGCTAAACAAAAACATGATCCGATCTTGTCACACCCCGCTAAAGCGGAAACACGAGATGTAACAGGCAAGCGAGTCATAGCAACAGTCTATAAATAACACCATACCAAGTTGTTCAAAAACAAAGTAGTTCATCGACATAACTAAAATTAGAATTTTACACAACGTT